AAGAACCCTCTCTACTGAACCCTCTCTAAAGAACCCTCTCTACTGAACCCTCTCTAAAGAACCCTCTCTACTGAACCCTCTCTACTGAAGAACCCTCTCTAAAGAACCCTCTCTACTGAACCCTCTCTACTGAACCCTCTCTACTGAACCCTCTCTAAAGAACCCTCTCTAAAGAACCCTCTCTACTGAACCCTCTCTACTGAACCCTCTCTACTGAACCCTCTCTAAAGAACCCTCTCTACTGAACCCTCTCTAAAGAACCCTCTCTAAAGAACCCTCTCTACTGAACCCTCTCTAAAGAACCCTCTCTACTGAACCCTCTCTACTGAACCCTCTCTAAAGAACCCTCTCTACTGAACCCTCTCTAAAGAACCCTCTCTAAAGAACCCTCTCTACTGAACCCTCTCTAAAGAACCCTCTCTACTGAACCCTCTTTACTGAACCCTCTCTACTGAACCCTCTCTAAAGAACCCTCTCTAAAGAACTCTCTCTACTGAACCCTCTCTAAAGAACCCCCTCTACTGAACCCTCTCTACTGAACCCTCTCTACTGAACCCTCTCTAAAGAACCCTCTCTAAAGAACCCTCTCTACTGAACCCTCTCTAAAGAACTCTCTCTACTGAACCCTCTCTACTGAACCCTCTCTAAAGAACCCTCTCTACTGAACCCTCTCTAAAGAACCCTCTCTAAAGAACCCTCTCTACTGAACCCTCTCTACTGAACCCTCTCTAAAGAACCCTCTCTACTGAACCCTCTCTAAAGAACCCTCTCTACTGAACCCTCTCTACTGAACCCTCTCTACTGAACCCTCTCTACTGAACCCTCTCTACTGAACCCTCTCTAAAGAACCCTCTCTAAAGAACCCTCTCTACTGAACCCTCTCTACTGAACCCTCTCTACTGAACCCTCTCTAAAGAACCCTCTCTACTGAACCCTCTCTACTGAACCCTCTATACTGAAGCCTCTCTAAAGAACCCTCTCTACTGAACCCTCTTTACTGAACCCTCTCTACTGAACCCTCTCTACTGAACCCTCTCTAAAGAACCCTCTCTAAAGAACCCTCTCTACTGAACCCTCTCTAAAGAACCCCCTCTACTGAACCCTCTCTACTGAACCCTCTCTACTGAACCCTCTCTAAAGAACCCTCTCTAAAGAACCCTCTCTACTGAACCCTCTCTACTGAACCCTCTCTAAAGAACCCTCTCTACTGAACCCTCTCTACTGAACCCTCTCTAAAGAACCCTCTCTACTGAACCCTCTCTAAAGAACCCTCTCTACTGAACCCTCTCTACTGAACCCTCTCTAAAGAACCCTCTCTACTGAACCCTCTCTAAAGAACCCTCTCTAAAGAACCCTCTCTACTGAACCCTCTCTACTGAACCCTCTCTAAAGAACCCTCTCTACTGAACCCTCTCTAAAGAACCCTCTCTAAAGAACCCTCTCTACTGAACCCTCTCTAAAGAACCCTCTCTACTGAACCCTCTCTAAAGAACCCCCTCTACTGAACCCTCTCTACTGAACCCTCTCTACTGAACCCTCTCTAAAGAACCCTCTCTAAAGAACCCTCTCTACTGAACCCTCTCTACTGAACCCTCTCTACTGAACCCTCTCTAAAGAACCCTCTCTACTGAACCCTCTCTACTGAACCCTCTCTAAAGAACCCTCTCTACTGAACCCTCTCTAAAGAACCCTCTCTACTGAACCCTCTCTAAAGAACCCTCTCTACTGAACCCTCTCTACTGAACCCTCTCTAAAGAACCCTCTCTACTGAACCCTCTCTACTGAACCCTCTCTAAAGAACCCTCTCTACTGAACCCTCTCTAAAGAACCCTCTCTACAGAACCCTCTCTAAAGAACCCTCTCTACTGAACCCCCTCTACTGAAACCAGTATCTCCAGTATTTGAGCCCCTCACCTTGATCTTCATGGTGCTGGGGGCCAGCGCTGTGATTTCCTTCTGCATCCTGTCAGCGATGCCGGGGTACATGGTGGTTCCTCCGGAGAGCACGTTGTTGGCGTACAGGTCTTTACGGATGTCGATGTCACACTTCATGATGCTGTTGTAGGTCGTCTCGTGGATCCCTGCAGACTCCATTCCTGCCGAGCGAGGGAACAGAGGAGGTTAGACACGGATCACTCTGTTTATATTTAGAGTTAAGTTTAGAGGGCTAAAAGACTCATGAAGAAGTCAAGGAAAACCCAAAGTACTTTAGTTCTAGTCCAGAGTCAAATGTCCAGTTTTTATCATTTAGAGTAAAGTTATAGCCGTGTGTCGGTCAAAGAAAACCCAAAACGACTTCAGTTGAATCCATAGAAAGAGTTTCAAACGAGAGGTGTTGGTAGTTTACTAACCGCTTACATCTTTCAATGAGAAGTTAACGCAGAACAGGTTGGTTTTAAAAACCAAAACCATGAATTTAATATCAGACCCTGAAGGTTCAATTTCATGTCAGGATTTAGGACTCATAGTGCTGAGTCATGTCAGGGACAGACAGGTGTTCAGGTGTGCAGACAGACAGGTGTTCAGGTGTACAGGTGACAGGTGTACCGATGAAGGAGGGCTGGAACAGCGTCTCCGGGCAGCGGAACCTCTCGTTGCCGATGGTGATGACCTGTCCGTCAGGGAGCTCGTAGCTCTTCTCCAGAGACGTGGAGGTCGCTGCGGTCCCCATCTCGTTCTCAAAGTCCAGAGCCACGTAGCACAGCTTCTCCTTAATGTCCCGCACGATCTCCCTCTCCGCTGCACACACACACACACAGACACACACACACACACACACACACACACACACACACACACACACACACACACACACACACACACACAAGTTACAGACGTTAGCGTGGATCAGCCTTTATGCAGAAGATACACACATTTATCTCACAATGGTGTGTGTGTGTGTGTGTGTGTGTGTGTGTGTGTGTGTGTGTGTGTGTGTGTGTGTGTGTGTGTGTGTGTGTGTGTGTGTGGTGGAGGATGAAGATGTACCGGTGGTGACGAAGCTGTACCCCCTCTCTGTGAGGATCTTCATGAGGTAGTCAGTGAGGTCCCTCCCGGCCAGGTCCAGCCTCATGATGGCGTGCGGCAGAGCGTAGCCTTCGTAGATCGGGACGTTGTGAGTGACGCCGTCTCCGGAGTCCAGCACGATGCCTGTCAATCAAACTTTATTAACACTGAACAGAACAAACATTACAGGAGGAGAAGAATCACTGTGTTTAACGTTTAACCTGTTAAGCCCGAGAGACCCCGGTACCGACGCCCTCCCGCAACATCTTGCAGGAAACAGTGTCTGAGGGCATGTTCATTTAATAAACTATGAATGTTTTATATCCATGTAACAGGAAGAAACTCATCTAACTGATCTTTTTTTTTTTTTTTTCAAAAGAAAACCCACAATGCTAACACTGAGCCTCTGAATTAGCAACGAGCGAAAAATGCTAACACCTTACTGCACCGAAAATCACTCACAAAACCTTATGTATCTTTTCACCACATCCAACACTTCGTTTCACATCGTGAGGTGACACAGAATCGATGGGTACCCTCATTACCACTGAATTATACGTATTTGCGACGTTATAAACAAAAACAGACATCAAAACAGGTGACGCTAGGTAGCTAAAAATGCTAACATTTTTACCTTGGCTCTGTAGTCTCTCCAAAGTGGTCTTCAATGGCATTAAAACGATAAAAACGCTGCTGAAGTTAATCCATAGGTTAATCTAATGTGTCTGTGTCCCTTTGAAATGATTTCTGATAATCCATAAGCATTAAAACTGCTTTTCCGTTTCCAGATGTCAAAGCTAGAGATAGGTTCACTCTGACGGAAAATTACATGCGCGCAGCCCCCACCTTTTCTCTTCACAACGAGTGTGTGTGGGGGACTCCCCCTTCGATTCTAATGGCTCTAACGGTCAGAAAGAGGTGTCAACCATCAAAATCGAGCAAGGGGGGCCAGAGATATGGAAAATTCACCCAAATGACCCCAGAAGTGGTTTATTTTTGCTAAACCTCTCTAAAAAGGTCAAATATCACTTGTTTTGCATCAATCTTGATACAGGGTACTTATTATATGTTGTACTTTGGATTCCTAAAGCTTTTAGTCTACTAACCCATCATCCAAGGGTAGTTTTCACTATAAGTAAAAAATAATTTTTGGACGGACACTATAATTTACAGTTTTTTACTATGTAAAATCTGAATTGTCTTTAAAATAAAAGCATCTATATTGATTCTGACTTTTCTACATCCAACTCACAGGTTTATCATTACTTTGAGAAAAAAGATTATTAATTTAACCCTTTTAGAAGGGAAGATATGGTCATTTGTTCTGGGAATGGCATTTTGGAGCCTGAGACCTGAAAAACAGGCTCAGGGCTTAACAGGTTAAAGGAAGTCTGAGTTACCAACTTGGGGCTTTTATTTTGAAACTCAAGCATCGTCCAGGCTCAGCTCAACTGCTATTAAAGTTATTAAAAGAAGTCGAATCACAATAGTCTTAAAGTCTGAGTCCCATGTTTAAAGGGTTTCTTGGGTCGACGGAAAAACAACAAATAAAGTTGTAAAGGTTTGAATTCTGTCACAGCCTTACTTTATTTTTAGAAAAGGCTGGATTTTCAAAATAAAAGCCTCAAGACGTTAATATGTACAAATGTAAATCTTGAACCTATTTTCATTTAATTTCTACTTCCTCCATCCTTTAATGTACAGAGTGTGGTCCAACCTGTGGTTCTCCCCGAGGCGTACAGAGAGAGGACAGCCTGGATCGCCACGTACATGGCGGGAACGTTAAAGGTCTCGAACATGATCTGAAATTATACAAAATACAAAGAAAAACATTGAAATACTATTAATAATTACACACATATAAAATATTAACACATAAATAAAGTTCATTTAAAGATCATAAATAAATAATCATTTCAGTGAAAGCATTTAGTCACTGGTTATATGTAGTACTGTGTATTCAAGTATATTATAGAAGTATTATCAGTAGTACTAGTAGTATTATACCTGCGTCATCTTAGCCTTAACCTTCTGTCATTGTGTGATATGTAGGAGTATGTGTTTGTACTGCAGTATAATCAGCATTAGTATCAGTAGTAGTAGTATCAGTAGTATAAGTAGTATCACTATACGTAGTAGTATTAGTAGTATTTTAAATTGTATTATGTAGTATAAGTAGTATAAGTACCTGAGTCATCTTCTCCCTGTTGGCTTTGGAGTTTAGAGGGGCTTCGGTCAGGAGGGTGTAGTATGTGTTGTGTATTATAGTAGTATTATAGTAGTATCAGTAGTATTATAGTAGTATTATAGTAGTATCAGTAGTATTATAGTAGTATTATAGTAGTATCAGTAGTATTATAGTAGTATCAGTAGTATTATAGTAGTATCAGTAGTATTATAGTAGTATTATAGTAGTATCAGTAGTATTATAGTAGTATTATAGTAGTATCAGTAGTATTATACTAGTATTATAGTAGTATCAGTAGTATTATAGTAGTATCAGTAGTATTATAGTAGTATTATAGTAGTATCAGTAGTATTATAGTAGTATTATAGTAGTATCAGTAGTATTATAGTAGTATCAGTAGTAGTAGTATCAGTAGTAGTAGTATCAGTGGTATAAGTACCTGGGTCATCTTCTCCCTGTTGGCTTTGGGGTTCAGAGGGGCTTCGGTCAGGAGGGTGGGGTGTTCCTCCGGAGCGACTCTCAGCTCGTTGTAGAACGAGTGGTGCCAGATCTGCAGCGGGACACACATTAATACCTCATCATATATCATATATAACATTAAATGATATTAACAGATGTTTTAAAGACCTTCTCCATGTCGTCCCAGTTGGTGATGATGCCGTGTTCGATGGGATATTTGAGCGTTAGGATTCCTCTCTTACTCTGAGCCTCGTCTCCAACGTAGCTGTCCTTCTGCCCCATGCCCACCATCACCCCCTGAAACACACGATCAATAACACTGATCACTATGTAACACAGCTGATAAAACATGCCCACCATCACCCCCTGAAACACACGATCAATAACACTGATCACTATGTAACACAGCTGATAAAACATGCCCACCATCACCCCCTGAAACACACGATCAATAACACTGATCACTATGTAACACAGCTGATAAAACATGCCCACCATCACCCCCTGAAACACACGATCAATGGCAGCTCACCTGGTGGCGGGGCCTCCCCACGATGGAGGGGAACACGGCTCTGGGAGCGTCGTCTCCGGCGAAGCCAGCCTTACAGAGACCGGAGCCGTTATCACAGACCAGAGCGGTGCTTTCCTCGTCGTCACACATGGTCCTGACTGTAGGGGGCGCTGTGGGGAGAACATCGATCAATAACTGCTCCTGACTGTAGGGGGCGCTGTGGGGAGAACATCGATCAATAACTGCTCCTGACTGTAGGGGGCGCTGTGGGGAGAACATCGATCAATAACTGCTCCTGACTGTAGGGGGCGCTGTGCGGAGAACATCGATCAATAACTGCTCCTGACTGTCCTGACACATCCTTTCCTCAAGTAGAAGTACACACTTTACTCAAGTAGAAGTACAGATACTCGTGTTTAAAGATACTCTGGTGAAAGTAGAAGTACTGACTAAACTTCTTTACTCAAGTCAAAGTAAAGAGGCTTTGAAATGTACTTCAGTAAAAAGTACCCATAACTAGCAGCTGTTTTAAAGAGTACCTGACCTCCCTTTATATTAATAGAACAATAATGTCATTGTTAGCTAATGAATGTTTCCATGCTGAACAACGGCAACATGACAACGTTTTCATTGGTCCCTCTTCTTTAGAGAAGACCAGGAAATGATGGATACACGGATCGTGTTCAAATCAATAGGCACGCAATGACTCTAAATAATAATGATCACGCCACCAAACACACATTCAAACTAAAGGAACCAGCCTGTTTGGGAAATGTGAGAAGTAGAAAGTACAGGTATTTGGGTTCAACATGTAAGAAGTAGAAAGTACAGGTATTTGTGTTCAACATGTAAGAAGTAGAAAGTACAGGTATTTGGGTTCAACATGTAAGAAGTAGAAAGTACAGGTATTTGTGTTCAACATGTGAGAAGTAGAAAGTACAGGTATTTGTGTTCAACATGTAAGAAGTAGAAAGTACAGGTATTTGTGTTCAACATGTAAGAAGTAGAAAGTACAGGTATTTGTGTTCAACATGTAAGAAGTAGAAAGTACAGGTATTTGGGTTCAACATGTAAGAAGTAGAAAGTACAGGTATTTGTGTTCAACATGTAAGAAGTAGAAAGTACAGGTATTTGGGTTCAACATGTAAGAAGTAGAAAGTACAGGTATTTGGGTTCAAAATGTAAGAAGTAGAAAGTACAGGTATTTGTGTTCAACATGTAAGAAGTAGAAAGTACAGGTATTTGGGTTCAACATGTGAGAAGTAGAAAGTACAGGTATTTGGGTTCAACATGTAAGAAGTAGAAAGTACAAAGCTGTCAGAAAAATAAGTAGTGGAATAAAGTACTGATACCAGAAACATGTACTTAAGTACAGTAACAAAGTATTTGTACTCCACGACTGCCCCCCTCTGGTCAGTGATGGAGACCTGAAGAAACATCCAGGGTTTTATTCGGTATTCTTTGCTCACGATTCAAGTCTCCTTCTCTCGTAGGAACGGAGTCTATCTGGAATCTCAACCTCCAACAATGCAACTTAAATATATATAAAACTGAAAAACACATTTTAAAAACTGTAAGAGTGCAAGAGAAAGAGAGGACCAGTGTGCAGGAGTCTGTAAAGATGTCAATAATTAGATAAACTACAGCGTGTAGAGGTAAATCCTGCAGAGCTTAATAAATACTGAGTACAGATGAAAGCTCTGAAGGCTCTTTGAGTGTTATCGAGACCCTCAGAGAACGTGAGATATAAAAACTAATGGTGTCAGTGATGCAGTTAATGCTGATATTTGTGAGTTGACTATCTGTGAGTTGACTATCTGTGTTCCACCTGAGACTCACTGATTCTCAAAAACACCAAACATGGATATGTGAGGTTTTCGTGTGACATCACCCTCCCTCAATACTCCTGCATTAAACAACAGTGCACTCTGGGAAAACTTCCTAATTCGGGCATGAAGCTGAGAGTCCTGCCTGAGTTTGGTATGCTCTCCTTCTCTCTCTCTCTCTCTCTCTCTCTCTCTCTCTCTCTCCTCTCTCCTCCTCTCTCTCGTCTCTCTCTCTCTCTCTCTCTCTCTCTCTCTCTCTCTCTCTCTCTCTCTCTCTCTCTCTCTCTCTCTCTCTCTCTCTCTCTCTCTCTCCCCCCCTCACAGTGACTTTAGTCCATATTTAGTCATCAGATTTGGATTCAGATATTTGTGTGATCAGCCTCTCAGGAGACGCTGGGTTTTCTCTGCCCTCAGTTCTGTCTGCTGCTCTGTTTGAGTGTGTTTTGAAAGGCAGAGATGGATGACAGGGACTCTGTATACAAAGGACACACCCAGTACCCCCCCCCCCCCCCCCCCCCCCCCCCCTTTAACCACTAGCTGTCACTCAAAGAGAGACAAACCAACCAGGAAGTGACACTCTAAAAGACTACAAATAGACTCAAAAGAACTACAAATAGATGATTACGGGTTTCACAAGACGAGTAAAAGGGAAAACTACTTTTGGTTGGGACACATTTTTCTGAACTCGTCTTAAACAAGCAAAATAAATCTAGAGAGATCTAAAGAGTGCTAACGTTAGCTTAGCCGTGTCATTTAAGTCGATAGTGAAGCTAATGTTTGTAATGCTAAACATGTTAGCTGTGTTAAGGTAAGGACATTAAGGGACAAACTGAGGTTTGAAGGTGTATTTTCCCTCATGTTCAGCAGCTGTAGCGCCCCCTGCTGGATGTTAAACAGCAGCTGATAATACAAGTGTTAAATACTCACATGTAGCATTTAGCTTTTAGCATTTAGCACATCCAGACTTTTAAATCTATTTCTCTTAACACTTATTACTAACTAACTAACTTATTACCAATTTCATTACTTTTGGCTCTTAAATATTGAAATTCTAAATAATAATAAAATATATTTAACATTAGCATCACATAAACTCAAGATAATCAAACCTTTATTTAAACATGTAAAACATAATTCAGACTTCAGGGCTCAGCTCAACCTGTATATCAAATATTGCATCTTGTGCCTGCCAGTCGTGACTCAGGGCACCTGACATCACAAACCCCGTCAGAAAGCCCCTTACCCTCTCACTCAGAACACAGAGTTTAAAACAAAGAGGAGAGGGAGACCTTTAAGAAGAGTCTTTAACTGAGTTTTAAACAACAACACTAAGTTAAACTGAGCAGAAAACAAGAAGGAGACAACAACAACAACAACAACAACAACAGAAACATAACGGGAGGCTCAGCAGGAGCAGCAGGGAGGAGAGGAGGACTTCCCGCAGGTGAGGAGACAGAGAGGAGACAGGGAGGTGACAGGTGAGGAGACAGAGAGGAGACAGGGAGGAGACAGGTGAGGAGACAGAGAGGAGACAGGGAGGAGACAGGTGAGGAGACAGAGAGGAGACAGGGAGGAGACAGGAAGGGAAGCAGGAGGTGAGAAGGAGGGGATCACATGATGGAGAGGAGACATAGAGAGGAGGTTACACCAAGTCAAAGGGAGGTTTGAAAGGAGGTGAAAGAGGAGAGACAGGAAGGACACGAGAGGAGAGGAGGCGAGGAGTCGAGGAGTCCAGATGAAGCAGGAGACAGAAAGACCTGTTTAAGAGGAGACGATATCCTGCAGGTTTGTTACAATAAAAAGTGAGAAAAAGAGCAGAGAGGAGGTTAAGAGGAGGTGAAGATGAGCAGAGAGGAGGTGAGGATGATGATGAAGATGATGAAGATGAAGGAGGTGATGGAGGTCTTACCGTGTGAGCCTGCTGGGTGATGGGGGGGAGACAGAAGTGAGGCTCAGAGTCGAGGAGTCCAGTTTATCAACTCTCTCTCACCCTGATCCTCCTCCCCCCCCTCCCCCCCTCCTCTCCTCCTCCTCCCCCCCCTCCTCTCTCTCCTCTCTCTCCCTTCTCCTTATAGGGCAGGCCCTGAGGGCAGCAGCCAATCAGAGAGCTGCGTGCTGCAGGACGTTCTCCCAGCATGCAGCATTCCTCCATCAGTGTTTACATTCAGAGAGGAGGCGCTGCAGCTACTACAGAAATACTACTGCATGTACTAATATTAACTTCTGTCATACTGCATGTACTAATACTACGTACTGTCATACTGCATGTACTAATACTACGTACTGTCATACTGCATGTACTAATACTACGTACTGTCATACTGCATGTACTAATACTACGTACTGTCATACTGCATGTACTAATACTACGTACTGTCATACTGCATGTACTAATTCAAATTCATTAAATTCAAAGGTGTTCTCATCAGATGCTCAGCAGCTTCAGGGAAGAGACAATGAAACTCTTCTGACCTGAGATCCTCCAACAATGCAACATATATCATCAAATACACAAATACACAAATACAAAAATACAAAATACAAAATGACAGTAGGTAGTATTAGTACATGCAGTGTGACAATAGGTAGTATTAGTACAAGCACTGTGACAGTAGGTAGTATTAGTACATGCAGTGTGACAGTAGGTAGTATTAGTACATGCAGTGTGACAGTAGGTAGTATTAGTACATGCAGTGTGACAGTAGGTAGTATTAGTACATGCAGTGTGACAGTAGGTAGTATTAGTACATGCAGTGTGACAGTAGGTAGTATTAGTACATGCAGTGTGACAGTAGGTCTATTAGTACATGCAGTGTGACAGTAGGTAGTATTAGTACATGCAGTGTGACAGTAGGTAGTATTAGTACATGCAGTGTGACAGTAAGTAGTATTAGTACATGCAGTGTGACAGTAGGTAGTATTAGTACATGCAGTGTGACAGTAGGTAGTATTAGTACATGCAGTGTGACAGTAGGTAGTATTAGTACATGCAGTGTGACAGTAGGTAGTATTAGTACATGCAGTGTGACAGTAGGTAGTATTAGTACATGCAGTGTGACAGTAGGTAGTATTAGTACATGCAGTGTGACAGTAGGTAGTATTAGTACATGCAGTGTGACAGTAGGTAGTATTAGTACATGCAGTGTGACAGTAGGTAGTATTAGTACATGCAGTGTGACAGTAGGTAGTATTAGTACATGCACTAGGTAGTATTAACAGTTGTCATCCCCTTCTTATAGCTTTAAGCTAAGGTAGGCTAACAGTTAGCCCTGCTTCTAAGCTAACACTGAAGCTGAACAGCTTCACTATTATTTGTGCTAAGCTAAGCCCACATTTAGCTGCTGACAGGTCTCCTGTTCCTCAGCTGAAAGCACTTTATTGTGGAGGGGCTCCACAGGAAGTGATGAAGAGTTGAGGTTTTTTAATCTGTAAGTGATGAAGAGTTGAGGTTTTTTAATCTGTAAGTGATGAAGAGTTGAGGTTTTTTAATCTGTAAGTGATGAAGAGTTGAGGTTTTTTAATCTGTAAGTGATGAAGAGTTGAGGTTTTTTAATCTGTAAATGATGAAGAGTTGAGTTTTTTTAATCTGTAAGTGATGAAGGTGATCCTGTTGACAGTCAGCAGCTCAGACTGACCTCTCTGAACACTGAGAGAGCTACAGGGAGGCTAACAGAGTGCTAAGGGTGTGCTGACAGAGTGCTAACAGAGTGCTAACGGTGTGCTAATGGTTGTGCTAACAGTGTGCTAACAGAGTGGTAACAGTGTGCTAATGGTGTGCTAACAGTGTGCTAACGGTGTGCTAATGGTGTGCTAACAGTGTGCTAACAGTGTGCTAATGGTGTGCTAACAGAGTGCTAACATTGTGCTAACGGTGTGCTAACAGTGTGCTAACTGTGTTCTCACGAACTAACTGGAATCAGCAGCGCTAACACCAGCATTTATAACATTTGATGCTAATGTTATTTCTATAAAATGCTCATGAGGGGTGACCACATTTTAAAAACCAGGACCCTTGAGTTTACTGCACATTTATCATATTTCATCAGGAAAAGGATAATTGTTTTAGCACCTAGCTACGATGCTAAAGCAGAGACGAGCTACATGTGTCCGTCTGTTCACATTCAACAGAATAACAGCTTTCACTGAAAGGAGGTTTTTAACATTAGCATTATGGGACATGTCTTTAATAACTGAAGGAGCCTCAGACTGAAGGAGCCTCAGACTGAAGGAGCTGAAGGAGCCTCAGACTGAAGGAGCCTCAGACTGAAGGAGAGCCTCAGACTGAAGGAGCCTCAGACTGAAGGAGCTGAAGGAGCCTCAGACTGAAGGAGCCTCAGACTGAAGGAGAGCCTCAGACTGAAGGAGCCTCAGACTGAAGGAGCCTCAGATTGAAGGAGAGCCTCAGACTGAAGGAGCCTCAGACTGAAGGAGCTGAAGGAGCCTCAGACTGAAGGAGAGCCTCAGACTGAAGGAGCCTCAGACTGAAGGAGCCTCAGACTGAAGGAGAGCCTCAGACTGAAGGAGCCTCAGACTGAAGGAGCCTCAGACTGAAGGAGCCTCAGACTGAAGGAGCCTCAGAAGGAGCCTCAGACCTCAGACTGAAGGAGCCTCAGAAGGAGCCTCAGACTGAAGGAGCCTCAGAAGGAGCCTCAGACTGAAGGAGCCTCAGACTGAAGGAGCCTCAGACTGCTGCGTCTCTCCTTAAAAGGAAGCTACGAGGAAAATAAAACGTCCTCCTTCTACTGAGGAAGAGGAGGAGGAAGAGGAGGAGATGTGTCTGTAGCTTTAACGCCAAAAAAGGAAGCCGGGCGGTAAATAAGAGCAGCTCCTCCTCTTCATCTTCCTCCTCCTCCTCTCGTCTCCTTCCTCTTCCTCCTCTTCTTCCTCCTCTCCTCTCGGGGGTGTGGTCCTCCTCATAATGTCCTTGTTTAGCTGTGCTCTTCCTCTCCTCCTCTTCATCGCTCCATTCCTCTGTGATTCCCCTCTTCATCACTCAGCTGCTGTGACCAGTGACCAAACAAACACTTGCTATTTTTTTTCAAGTTGTACAATTTAAAAATGTTAGAAATGTGTTATATTTAGAAGTTAATATTTAATCTACATTTATAATAAGTCCTTTCTGTAACTCCAGAGAAACACCTTATTAGGAACTGTTTGATACGAAGCTATGAATTACATTTTACACATTTAGTTATAAATTACTCTAAATATAATGTGTAAGATAACTTCATCTTATCTTTAATACTTTATCTGAAAGTACTTCTCCCAGTCTCCTGCTGCCTTAAACAGAGAAAACACACACACACACACACACACACACATTCCTGAGCTAGCTGTGTGTTGATGTTTCATCGGCCAATCAGAAACAGTTTCAAACGTCCAGCTGTTTTCCCATTTTCGGTCAAAGTCCAGGCAGTGTGTGTGTGTGTGTGTGTGTGTGTGTGTGTGTGTGTGTGTGTGTGTGTGTGTGTGTGTGTGTGTGTGTGTGTGTGTGTGTGTGTGTGTCTTCACCTACTTACTGAAGGGAAATGTCAGACTGTGTGAAACATGATAACTATAATAATATATATATAAGATTAATAAAAGCTTTGCTTATTCATACAAAACTCCTGATTAATTATTTACATGTGAAATAGTTTTTAATAAATGTTTCAAACGTTAACGTAGGGGACGTCCTCACACTTTAACTGAACCCTCCTAACCCAAAGACAGACCCTTAAAATATATAAAATATCCCCTCACATGTATGTGTCCATCACTTTCATTTCAATAATTTATGTCTTTAAATTATAATTTTTTATTCAAAAGAGTATTTTGGCAATGTGACATTCCTGTGGTGCCCCCTTTAGGTCACACAGTGTTACTGCAGGAATCCTGTAGTAACGCTGTGTGACCTGCAGGGCTCCTGTAGTAACACTGAGTGACCTGCAGGACTCCTCTGTAGTAACACTGAGTGACCTGCAGGACTCCTCTGTAGTAACACTGAGTGACCTGCAGGACTCCTCTGTAGTAACGCTGTGTGACCTGCAGGACTCCTCTGTAGTAACACTGAGTGACCTGCAGGACTCCTCTGTAGTAACACTGTGTGACCTGCAGGAGTCCTGTAGTAACACTGAGTGACCTGCAGGACTCCTCTGTAGTAACGCTGTGTGACCTGCAGGACTCCTCTGTAGTAACACTGAGTGACCTGCAGGACTCCTCTGTAGTAACACTGTGTGACCTGCAGGAGTCCTGTAGTAACACTGAGTGACCTGCAGGACTCCTGTAGTAACACTGAGTGACCTGCAGGACTCCTGTAGTAACACTGAGTGACCTGCAGGACTCCTCTGTAGTAACACTGTGTGACCTGCAGGGCTCCTGTAGTAACACTGTGTGACCTGCAGGGCTCCTGTAGTAACACTGAGTGACCTGCAGGAGTCCTGTAGTAACACTGAGTGACCTGCAGGGCTCCTGTAGTAACACTGAGTGACCTGCATGAGTCCTGTAGTAACACTGTGTGACCTGCAGGGCTCCTGTAGTAACACTGAGTGACCTGCAGGAGTCCTGTAGTAACACTGAGTGACCTGCAGGAGTCCTGTAGTAACACTGTGTGACCTGCAGGGCTCCTGTAGTAACACTGAGTGACCTGCAGGAGTCCTGTAGTAACACTGAGTGACCTGCAGGAGTCCTGTAGTAACACTGTGTGACTTGCAGGGCTCCTGTAGTAACACTGAGTGACCTGCAGGAGTCCTGTAGTAACACTGTGTGACCTGCAGGAGTCCTGTAGTAACACTGAGTGACCTGCAGGAGTCCTGTAGTAACACTGTGTGACCTGCAGGGCTCCTGTAGTAACACTGAGTGACCTGCAGGAGTCCTGTAGTAACACTGAGTGACCTGCAGGGCTCCTGTAGTAACACTGAGTGACCTGCAGGACTCCTGTAGTAACACTGAGTGACCTGCAGGAGTCCTGTAGTAACACTGAGTGATCTGCAGGAGTCCTGTAGTAACACTGAGTGACCTGCAGGAGTCCT